AAAAGAACAGTTTAGAAAAAGCTTTAACGTTTTTAATCCAACATATATTGTTGATAAAAAAATTTGTTTTCACACAGTGTCGCGGAAGATAAACTAGGTCTTAAAATTTTAAAACTTCATTATAGATGCTGTAAATTACCAGGTCATTTAAAACAAAGTACTTCTATCTTCCCTTTGTTCTTTTTTCTTTCTTTTTTACTTTCTCAGAAGTCATAAATCTGTCCCAGGAGGGTAACCTCCCTCCCACCTGCATTGTAACGTGACCTTTTCCACAGGTCACCACTGCTGCCTGTCCATATGGGACTAGAGAACGAAAGGGCTTTTTTTCCTCCCCCATGTTATGCTTTCCTGGAAGTTTGTCATTGTTGAATAGCTGCGTCTTGGTCTCTTTATTCCTGTGTTTGAACAATGTGGCCTATTAAATACATCAGATGAGTGTGGCAGCCCCTGTTCAGTTCAGTACAATAGTTTGTTTACAGTTGTTCCTACCATAAACAGAAGGCACATGGGTACAGGTCTTTCTGCACCTCCCCAGGAAGTAGCAGTTCCTATATTGAAATGGATCATATTCAAGGCGTTTATCAGTTGTTAGTTGGGAAATGGCAGTAGTAAATGATGCAGAGGTTCCTGGGTCAGCCCCTAAGAACTTTTTAACTCATAAGACCAGCTGCATTCAAATCCTTGTTTTCTCTTATTAAATGTAGTTTTAGACAACTGGTGCAACTTTGGTAAGTCTCAGTTCCCTCTTCTGACACCCTGGAAGAATAAGTGTGGTTTTGTAGTGTTGAGTATTAAAGCAATCCACATAGGGCATTAAGAACGGTATTTACTCCATGTGGACTATGTGCAAATGCACATATGTATTTGAACTCTTATTATCATCCTGTCTGTCTTCCGCAGAAATGGGAACACCTGTTCTTTGTGTTCCAAGATGGGAGACCAAGCACTCCTGCAGTATTGGAGGTGGTTCTTGCCACCTGGAGTGTGAGCTATGCTGACCATGAGGACAAGAGTTTTAGGGAGATGGGAAAGAGGTCAGAGTAGGAATCGGGGTTGTGCAGGGCTTGTACTAGTGCTGGGGTCTGCAGTTTGGCAGGTCTGAGGCAGGGAGGGACTGGAGAAGAAAGCAGACCAGGAGTACAGTTGATTATTTTCTCCCTGGGCATGTTCCTTCTCTTTCCCACCTTGAAATCAGGGCTATGTGGCTGGCGTCATCCTGTCTCTGTAGCTCCATGTGCTTTCTGTCCTCTCCTTGTTTTCTTTCTCCTTCAGTGATTTTTGTGCAGAACTTCTGCTAGTGGTCACAGAAGTCAGAAGCCACAGGGTGCGACAGTGGAAGGGCTACATGGGCTAATCTGAACCTTGAAGCCTAGGCAGAGAGACTGTCTGTGGTCTTGCAGCTGAGAAGATGCTCCCCTAAGCGACTGAGAGCCCCCTTAACAGGTAGATATGTGGATTTCTACTATAAGTGCTGCTGGGGAAAGAGGTCCTTTTCAAAGTTAGCTACCTTTCCCTAGACTAATTCTTTTTTAAAGTGATGGGAACTGAATCCAGGACACATGCTAAGCAGATACTTCATCTTGAGTTCTGCGGGACCTTAATGTTAAACAAAATGGTACATACTCTGCCTATATCTCAGATGAAATATTGTTAAAATGCTTTGAAATGTACTATGAAGAATAAAGTTCTGACCAGGAACTTGGCTTGAGTATTAAGAGAATTTTAGCACTTAAAGGAGCCAAGAGTCCATGACAGGCTCACATGTCTGTGTCCAGCGGGGAGGCTGAGGCTCATGGATGTTATGCTTTGCCAATAGAAGAGTTGAACAGTCAGAAAAGAGCGCAGGTGCACTGTCTTCCACAGGATGCCCTTTCCAGAGAGAAGGAGCAAGAGGGACAATTTCCATGTGCTCCAGGAGGGAAGAGACTAAGGAAGTGTAGTGCAGTTTTCAGTTTCATTTATAACAGATGCCAGGGGCTCCAGTGGAGAACTCCAGTAGATAAGAACAGGCAAGAGCTGCGTGTTCCACTCAGCTAGGACTATGATCTTGACCTAAAGTGTGAGGCTATAAGGAAACAAACCTGGGTATTTTCTGCTTCTTCCATGAAACCAGCCTAGACTTGCCTCATGCAGAGACCTGGCCTTGGCTCTCCATGATTGCCTTGCAGGAGAGCAGGAGCCATGCCGCTTAGCCACCTCGGGACATTTTAACACAGATCATTCGGAGCTTATCTGTGGTTTTCAGTGAAGACTCTGTGAGTTTCTGCTTTTCTTTTTTTTTTTTTTTTTTTTGTATCATGAATCAAATTCAGGACCTTGCGCTTGCCAGCCAGGCGCTGTGCTGCTGAGCTATGCCCTTGCTTCCTTCATTGAGCACTCTGTAAGCAGCTGGTGTCTGTAGACCTGTTAAGATGGATAGTAATTCTACTGCAAAGCTATGGCTATCAACATGTCCTGCCACCATTATATCTTTATTATAAATTTTAATTGTAATAATCATGTGAGGACTTGATTACATAATATTACTTTATCTTGTGACCATATATATTCATGGAAAGGCTTTTTTCTCTTAATGGTAAGACGGTTTAACAGGAAGCCAGGTTAGCCATCCAGCCCCTCCCCACCTCTCCAGTGCTGCTGTTCTGAGCCATCAGGGAAGGGCTGTGGGATTTTCTCCAAGAAGTCCTCTCTTAGGGCCACCCTGGGGAGCTGCACTTCATTTCTGCTCCTTCCATGTCATAATCTAATTGTAACATACTGATAATTGTTGGAGTCTTGCTCACAAAGCTTGTGTTCTGAAGATTTGGTATTCCAGTGAGTCTTTGGTTTTCATTCAGAGGAGCTCTCCAGGCCTGTGACATTTTGCTGGTCTATCTGGCTGTATTGCGTGGGGCGGCCTTTCCTGGGCAGGTGATAGTTCTCTAGTTTAACCCCAGAGTCCCTCAGTCACAACTACCATCCACCTCCAGAGTGATTTCTGTCTTGTAAATCTGGAACTCTGTCTCCAGGTGGCACGGATTCCCTGTTCCCTTGCTCTCCAGTTGCAGGCAGCCACAGTCCACTCTCTGCCTTTCTGAATCTGACTACTTTAGGAAGCATACTTTATCTGCCCTTTTGTGATTGACCTCACTCAGCGTAATGTCCTCCAGGTTCAGCCATGTTGTAAAGCGCGCCAGTACTCTTAGGGCTGAGTACTGTCCCCTATGCACAGTACTTTTTGTTTATTATCTATTCATCTGCAAAGGGGTGCTTGGGTTGCTTCCATCTTTGGACTGTTGAGACAGCGCTGCTCCCCATGGATACTGCTATTCCTTTTGAGTGCATCCCCCTTTTCTTTTGCTTGTACTATAGGCTTGTCTGTGGCACCATAGGTGTCACCACTCTCTGTGACAATGAAGCCTAGAAAGTGACCTCATGACTATTAAGCCCTCATTCATTTCCCCTTTTAGAGGGGGAGGAAGTTGGTCATATTGTGGTTTTGGTTTTCTTTTCTTAGCTTTGCCTTTCTTTTTAAGTCTAGCTTGTGTGGTAGTTAATGCCTGTTCTATCATTCATTCCCAAGTCTGTATTTCTGCCCTCTGATGCTGTATGAGGCTCTATCAGAACTCTATACTTTCCAAGGAATTACGTCAGACAGCCAAGCAATACCACTACTGAATGTAAGACATTAAGCTATGGGTGTGAGACGGTACACAGAGGATTGGCAGGGGAAGATAGATAGCAAAAGTAGAGGCCTGGTTTCCACCTTTAGTGAACTTTTAACTTCCAAATACTTGTTACTTTATGAATTACTTAAAAATGACTTGGAGATTTTGTTACCTTGCTTCGTTATATCATTTGATCTGTCCTGAAATGATTTGCTTCCTTCCCATCCCCCCACCTGGAATGTTTGGCAATAACTGGACACACTTCTGGTTGTCGTAACTGGTATGGGTCTGGTGGGTGGAGGCAAGAGGTGCTGCTTGCTAAACATTCACAAACAACATGGAATGATTGGCGCAGGGGTCAGTAGTACAGAGGCTATGAGGCCCTACAGTATCACTCAGTTCAGACTAGTTCATCATCTAGTAAGGAACAAGAAAAGACGCCAGCCATTTCCCCAAGGAAAATGTCTTTATGATAATATGGTAACATGAAATCAAGCTAGCATTTCCCATACTGTAACTATTTTCTAGCATAAGACATAAAATATTAAATGATAAAGTAGAATTTTTCATATCTAAGGAAAAAATTTTATACCCCAGAAAAAAATTATACTTTAAAAACATAATTTAGCATTTAGTATCAATATGTATCAATCTGTATGTAAGTATTTAAAAAGAAAAAGACATTGGCTTGACTCATAAGCATTCTTTGAAATACAAAGGCATCATGTAACTACCTCCTACATATTTCTCTTTTAATTAAACTAGCATTACATTAAGATCTTGAACCCCATGGTTATCTCTTATCGCATATCTTCCATTAAATGAAATTAATGGTATAAGCTGAACAAATGAAATTAGCTGCAAAGAGAATCATTTGGAGGTTTGTGGACCCTACATCAGGTGTTTAAAAAGGCACAGAGATGTTGTGACTCGGTGGCAACCCACAGGTCTAAACCAGGCCTTGTATGGCCGGGGCGACATAGTGGAGTCACTGGCCCGAAGGTGTCCTGTACCAGAGCCAACAGGACGTGTATCTTAATGCTTGCCTCACTGGAAAGCATCTCCTAGGATTGGACCCAGAATAATCGGAAGGCATAGAACCAGGTCATATGTTGTCCTTGCTAGTCTCCGACCCTGTAGACATTTTCAGTGCTGGGCAATGAAAATTGGTGTTCATAATAAGAATTCTGAAATTGCTTCTTAGTCATCAATAGAATTATAAATTCAACTTCATTTTCTGGCTATATATAAAGGCTGTCCTAGAAAGGACTTCCCGCGTGTGTGCAGAAATGGATCCTCCAGCATCTAAGCCATGCACAGCTGTACTGAGAATTCCATGTTTGTTTGTTCCAGAATGTGGGAAGAAGGCAAGGTGCTCATCTTTGACGACTCCTTTGAGCATGAAGTGTGGCAGGATGCCTCATCGTTCCGCCTAATATTCATCGTGGATGTGTGGCACCCAGAGCTGACACCTCAGCAGAGACGCAGCCTTCCTGCAATTTAACAGGAATTCCTGCAGCCTTGGGGCATTCTGGAAAGATGCTACCTTCCTGGCTCACTGTGGGGGTGGACACAGAAGTTCTGATTCCATGCCTTGAATTCAATGACTTGCAGCACAGAAAGCTTTGAGCTTCCTCTTGGAGTTAGATGCTAAATAGAAACACCCTGCCATATCTCATTTGTGGCAGCACTGACTGTATGCCCGTGTTTAAGGTGAACACTTGGTAGCTTCTGCCTTGCCAGCCAAAGGTATTTTTGCCATGTAGAGTAGGTGTCAATCAATGTACAATGAGAGTATATGTAGAAACTGTGAACGGATTGCTTTAGTTTGTAATTTTTCTATACAGTTATATTTTTCTAGGGTACTTAAACTATTTTGCATCATGTACCACTACTTTTTTACTGACTACAATGATAAGCTTTAATTTTAGCTGTATAAATGCTTTATTTTGAGCTGTTTAATGGTAACTCTCCTGGAGAATTTAGACTTCCTTTTCTTTTTAGTAGGAGACAGTCATGAAAAAGGCAATTTTATTTTCTTATACAAAAGAGGAAAATGTAATTATGTCAGTGTCTGTTATCTGTACAGATCCTTACTCTTGAATCTGCTTTTTTATCTCCACTGAGATCTAGTGTTATCTTTGCTCACTATGCAAATGGTAGAGATGCTGTCACAATTATTTCTTTCTGAGAAGGACTTTTTATACAGAAAAAACACAAAAAATCATTTTTTTACTATGGTATAAAAATATCACATGTAAATTTTTTAGTGCCAAATATTAGGGCTTGAGGAAAAGAAGGTAAGGTTCTGGAAGCAAATAATGCCTCAGCATTAGGCAGCTAGGTAGGCACAAGGGCACCTGGCTGCTGGGGTCTCTGCCATGTGTGGCACAGGGCCTAGGACTCCAGAGAGGCTTTCTAATGTAGAACCATTTGAGTGGCAGGAGGATAGCCTTCGGTCCTTGATGTAGTTCTCATCATAATTTCATAAATGTAAGAACAGCAGAGCAGACAATCCAAGGAATACTAGGTCTTGGGTGCAAGAGGTCAAGTTGGCTTTTCTTTTTGAAAGGGTTTGAAGATTCTTGGCTTGAGAAACTTCTGCCAGTTAAACATTATTTTAAGGTAGTATCTAATATCCATATTTAGTTTTGATACTACCCACAACTTAAAATATCAGCTGAAAGTGGCCTTGTCTTCTTATTCCAAAGAGGATCAAGTCAGTAATCTAGGAAAGTAGTGTTGTATTTGATTTTGTATTTTTTAAGATAAAGGTAATTACAAGTGTTAGTTGCCAGAATGTAGTGGTATTTATGCACTGAATTCTAAGCCAGCATGAACAAAATTACTGCAGGAGTAGCACGTAGGTCACCAACTTATATGCACAGGTAGAAAACCCAATTGTGCTTTTTTTACAGTCTTATGAAGAGCTTCTGAAATATCTGCCATGTTCTTAAAATGTAATTCTGTTCGTTCTATGTGGTCAATGTTTGAAAATCCCACTAAAGAGGATAGAAATTCACGGGAGGAAAAAATAACAAAGTTAATACTAAAATCCAGAAAAAAAATCAAACTCTTGAAAAATAAAAAAGGTAATTATGTTCTTCCGTATTTATTAAACAGGAAATGACTGACAAAGGGCAATACAATCCAGTATTCATGTAGTGCCATTCATGTTACTTATTGAATTTGGTTTCCCATGTAAATCACATACAGGTAAACAAATGCAAACCATGTGTTGTTGTTGTTGTTGAACCAATCCTCTTGCATTCATTTAAAGGAACTGTGCAAAAGAGTTAAAAACTAGCTTTTAACTTAGTAAATACAATGTGGTATTTAACAAAGGTTCACTACAGTAGGACTCTAAATATTGCCAATTGAAAAGCTGTAAGGATCGTTACTGGTCCAAAGGGCTGGCAATAGTCGACTCGGATAGCATTTAAATACTTGGATCTCACACATTTTAAAAACCCAAGCAATAAAGTGGACTTTTCTAATTCATTTTAATTCTTCATTTCTCATACTTATATCTTGTTACATAAGTATTTCTGCCACTGCATTGGTAAAGTGATTTCAGTGTTACAATTTTATGATTTGAAGTTCTGTGCAAATGAATTGATTTTATTTATATTGTGATGCAATTGTTTGAGAAAGATTTTTAGTTCTAATTCAATTATGTATTTCCAAGTTTAAATATAAAACTGACTTTTATTATTCTCTACCTGTAAAAATAATTAAAACATTAGATCCTTTGAAGAGTATCATAAACTTTTAAGATTAACTATAGTATCTGTTGCTGGTGATTATGGCCAATTGAATCAATCACCTGGTTGCTTTGAATTGTTCACCTAACAGATCAACTCTCAAAAATATTTCATTGTAAAATTACTTTTTACTGCCCATTATCAACTAAAATAGTTGAGCTTCGACGTTAAGCACCAATTGGTTATACTCATTAATGGCATGTCATGCAGTTGGCTGGTCAAGTAAGATATGTCTAAAAATATACAGCTGATCTTGGGAAACATGACACAAATAATTGCCTGTGACATCTTTTTATTTTACATTGAATTTCCTTTGAATGGATAGGTGGGAACTCCATTTCTAAAAATAATAGATAAATAAAATGATCTTTGGCATTTTGTCCTGCATTCCTAGTCTCGTCTGTACATGCTAGACATTCTCCAGGGTTTTACTCCATGATCTGATGGTGCTACACCATTGGTGGCCAGACCCTCTCTCTGTACCTTTAATGACTGCAGGAGGTGGAGGGTTAAATGGTTCGGTAGCACTTTTCTTGGCTGTGGACCCAGGTGAGCCAGCTTTGATGGGTTTATTAGACATTGACATGTGTTTTCAAGAGATACCTCCCCTTTGGGTTCTCACAATGCCTGTGGGAAATCACATTGCTAAGGGAAAGTCGTATTTCTAATAGTATACATCTTTTAAAGTCAACTTGTGAATGTCAGCTGGTGGACTGATAAGAAATGTGACATCAGAATCATTTTTTTACAGGGCATCGAAATAAGAAAACTTTGCAAATAGCCAGACCTATGAGAACATGCTCTTAGGCTAACAATTCTATGCTGGTGAAGAGGCCACCAGCAGAATTCAATAAGAATGGAAATTAGGTATTATTTCTCAACTTGACAATGATGTCTGCACAGTTTAACTCATGTATTTACTTGGAGATACACTTAATCTTAATTTGTAGAAACTGGAGTTTCCCTATGTAATTCCTCAGAAAAACCCTCATCCTAATACGGTGTATGCATCAAATTTAGCTTTTTACTTTTTTTATTCATTTCATACTATAAATATGTAGGGAGCGAGAACCTTTTCTACATGAATACCTTGTTTTATCCTCCAGTCCCTTTGGTAAAACAAAAAACATCTCTAAAATCTCTGTCCAACTTTGGCTGTTCAGATGATGGCTGTCGACAGTCATTGCTGGGGGCAGGAGTGGAGGACCTTGTGTTAAGCAGAACACACGTGTCTGTGTGAGTCAGTTGCACATGTGCTTCCTGGTGGCTGATACCACTGAAGGCCAGGGTGCAGCAGTGTCAGGGTGGCTTCGGCTCAGTCCAGAGCCAGGAGTGGCTGAGTGTTCTCATTCTCTCCCTTATCCTCATGTTTCAGGGTTCCAGCTTCTACCACAGACTGAGACCTAACAAGAGAGGAGAAAACAGATGTACTTAAACCACTCATGATGGCCACCATTTTGAAATCTTTGGGGCTACTTACATGTTGTCATTGACTTTTTAATCAGAAAAAAAACAGCTGCTTAGGTTTTCCCCTTTTTTTTGTATACCTGAGTTTCTTGTGCTTTCTACACATCTTAATGGCGAGGGGCCTCTTGGAGTCTTGGCGTCTTTGCAGAAATCTCTTCTGTGAGTGGCAGGAATGTGCATGTTCTGCCCACAGTTCTGCCCAGTGTCTAGACATTCAGTGGAATCTGAGGTGTATAAAGTTAGGGAGTGTTGGGTTTTTAGGGTTTCTTTGTTTCCAGATCATCAGAAGCGGCCAAACGTGTTAAAAACCAGGCTGTACAATCACCTGGTAGACTTAGACACTGCACTTACTATCTCAGAATCTCAGAGGAATTCTCCAAACCCTGTAGACCTTTGTCCTTTTGCTTATATAATATTTACCTCCCACAGTAGTTAATAAAGTTTAAAACTAATAGTATTCATAAATAATTTGGCATGCAGTTGAAGTTCAAATTTGTGAAGCAGTCTCATTAATTTGCAAGAGAAGTCGTGATGTTGAATGTCAGATGTGTCTTCTTATATTGGAATAATAACGAGTTCTTTCCTAAGATCACAACATGTATTAAAAATTGAATTTTATAGCTTACAGAAAAAAGATTATAAAAGCAATGTATGCAGTAGATATTCAGGAATTGTTCATACATTAAAAATTATCCAAAGTGTCATAAAAATTTATAGTGTGCAGATGAAAGTTTACATATATAGACAGTAAATAATTTAACTCAGTAAGCCTGGGTTATTGAAACCCTGCACACTCCCAAGTCTTCAAAATTAGCCTTTGACTGGCTCCCAGAGCACTCGACATATCTTGCCTGAGAAGAACATCTTTCTATATCTGATGCTTTGAGCTGTGTTGGATATTGTATGCTAACAGGGTGATGTATAGTGAATGCGTGTTTTGTGTATCTAGCTTTGTGTACATTACACTGTTTGCCTTTTGTGGCAAAGGCAAGTGAAATGCAGAGGCTGACAGCCGAGTACTGGCACCAAGGTCAAGCATACGAGTACTACACACCCGTGAGTCTCACCTGGAGCACAAGCCCTGGACACCGAGCACGGGAGCCTTTCTGGTTGGCTACTCTGTGCAAATGCCAAGTATCACTGCTGAGAGAGCTAAGTTTCTACCCATGTGCTTCACTGGGAGTTCCCCATAGTCTAGTCTTCCCTGGACCCCACCCCGCACATTTTCCATTACCTATTTTAATCCATATCTTCTTGCAATCATAAACCATAACTGTTAGTGTAACCATTTTTCTATGTCCTGTAATTCCTTCTAGCAAATGACCAAAACTAAAGGTGAGGCTAGGCATGGTGGTGCATACCCGTAATCCCAGAACTCAGGAGGCTGAAGCAGGAAGATCATTATGACTTCAATACTAGCCTGGGCAGGAAGATCATTACGAGTTCAGTATCAGCCTGGGCTACAAAGTGAGTGAGCATAAGGCCATCCTGAACTGCATAGCAAGACCCTGTCTCAAAAAGACAAAATTAAAAAACACAAAAATAAAGGTCCTGAGGGCCCATGATGAAATAAATAATAGCATTAATACTTGTTTTGTATGCACCTGGTATTGTTCTAAGAAATTATATTTATGGACCTAATTTGTGGACCTGCTTCTGGCCAAGCCCATGCTGCTGTGGAAGAGGAGTGGCTCTCCAGTCTCGCAAATTTCCATCTGCACATATACAAGGGATGATTTTCACAACTTGAGAGGATGGTGCTACTTTTTGTCTCCACTTTACAGGTGTGTGTGTGGGGGGAGAACAGGGTTCAAAACATCAAACAACAGGAAAGACAACACAAGTGGAGAGTGAAAAGCAGGGCAGGTTTATTACCAGCAAGTTGCTCTTGGATGTGTCTGAGGCCACAGAGCTTTGGCTGAAGTTGTTCCTTCACTGGATTATACAACTAATTCTCTGCTTAGATTTCTTATCTCCTTTCAATTTATGTATGCGCCTTAGCACAAAATTAAGAAATCAAGAAACAGATACATACAGTTGCCTCAGAAAACCCATTTTTATTGTAAATACCAATCCCTTCAAACAACTTAACTCAGTACCAAGCTTAATCTCTGAAAATGAAATGGATTCACCCACTTCTGGGGTGGAACAGAGGAAGCCCCAGACAGTAGCTCAGCCTCTGCTTTTAACACAGTTCCTATGCATTTCGCTCTTTGTTTTGGTTAAAGATTGTAGTGTATATGGAGGGTGAGGGCACTGACTTATGTGAGGAATAGAAGACCTGAAAATCCAGAAGACATTAAAGCAAACAGCAAATATGAAATCCTGAGGAGACCAACCGGCCCCAAGGGACACCTCTCTCCAGCACTTCCGACGGCTGCCTGAGCAGCTCTGCACTGCAGGCTCCTGTGAAGCAGGAAGGCGATGGCTCTTTTCAGAAACTTTGACCTGCCTTTGCTGTTGTCAGGTGAATTGTTTTACAGCACTGCATGTGCATCATAGCCATCGAGTTAGGCAGAAACATATTGACTAATCTAAATTAGATCACCTGATAGGAAATTTTTAGTAAAGCCCATGCATTTGTCCATGCACTTGAAGAGGCAAGCTCTCCATCAAACTCAAACTGGTATTTTCAAAACTTGTACATATTTTCTAGTGCTGCCTCCTGGACCATCACCACTGGGTATCTGAGGAATGGGTTTCAAGACTGACTCCTGTGGATATGAAAAATCTACAGCTTCTAAATCTTTTATGTAAAATGGTATATTTGCATGCAACCTATATGCACCCTCTTAAATGCATTAAGTCATTTCTAGATGACTTACAGTATCTAATACAATCTAAATGTTGTATTGCTGTCATGTTGTTTAAGGAAGAATGACAAGATAAAAAAGTTTGTACCTGCTCAGTATAGACATAGCTCAACTATCATAGATCTAACTGAATCGTACATATCAGCAATGATGTAAAATGTTTCTCTGCAAATATTTTCCATCCATGGCTGTTTGAATCCTTAATGTGGAAGCCATACATAGAGACCTGACTATGTGTTCAATCCAGCCAGTAGTCCAAATAGCAGTACTTAGTTTGTGTCCTCTAGTCCTGTCACACCATCACCAAGGTTAATCAGATTTATCTCATGCTAAGACTTTTAGAACTTGCCACCTCAGTACTCCTCCATGTCTTTTACCAGATAAATCAATTGCTCACAGTATTCCTGGTGTGACCTCAGAATCAGGTGAAGTGTTTTTTTTTCCCTTCTCTTGAGGGTGTCTACAACCCCATTCACCGTAAAAGGCGCCCTGTTACCCTGCCAAAGAGGAAAGGTATTAACTAGGGAAAGAAAACAAAGAAAGAGATAGAGACAGACAGACCAAGAAGAAAAAAGAAAAAAGAAATCTTTCACACAATGACATCATTCACCATCCTTGTTCAAGAGACTGACATTCGAGGGTGATAAGGGCTGTTTTCTAGTATGTCCATATGTACAAGATAATTTTAGATTATAACCGTAGGCCTATATGTATTATTTTGTTTTTATCTTTGGTACTGGAAATTGAACTCAACCTCATGCTTGCCAGCAGGCACTTTACCACTGAGCTATGTCCCCCATCCTGTATGTGCATTTTTGGTAAAGTACTTGGGCTTATTGTGCACAAAGTTCATACTCTATCGCATAGCATCCAAGCTTTATAGATGTCCTAAGGTGACCATATATGATAAAAACTAGAGGTAGGAAGTTAGACAACATTTAAGTATCTTTTTGTTATAGTTAATAGGAAAGCTGCACCTTGGGATTATTATAACACCTCTGGGCAGTGTGTGTCCGGACTTGTCATTAGGCTGGCAGCGGAGG